ACCATATATATGTGTGTGTGTGTGTGTGCATGTGTGCGTGTGTGCGTGTCTGTGAAGGTCCTGAAAGTGTAGCAGGTTTTCAAGCAGTGGGAAGGAGACCAGCACTTTGCTGACATTGCACTTCATCTCTCTCTCTCTCTCACACACACACATACACACACACACACACACACACACACACACACACACACACACGTTTTGTCTTACTTGGAATGAATACGTTTGACAAAGCTTAATTTGTCCTGATGACCATATCTAGTGTTTGCCCTGACTACAAAATACTGTACGTTCACGCCAATGATATGCAGCGATGCACCCTGCCGACGTGTCAAACGACCTTTTCACCTGATCAAATCACACGAGCGCGACCCCATTATCGTGTCACATGACCACCAGAACTGACTGACATCACACGGCTGCCTTAACCCGACCACGTCACTTGACCAAGTCATCACCTATTGATGTTTGGTCACAGTGTGACATCGTCACAGGACAGTAATCCCGTGACGACGTCGCCTGAACCACATGACCGTGTTCATGGCTCCCAAGGAGTTGCTGTTTTTGTTGGCAACCGGGTTCAAATAGGCCGAGCGCTTTCATGTCTGTGTGTAAGAAGTGAGATCGTGACGCTCCGCTGCCTGTGATTTACTCGTCTCTTCGAGGAAGGCGTTTATAGTACTTAGGTGGATGACACGGCTGGTAACTAATTGGATGGACGGCTTCTACTTGAGGAAATATTTGTTGAGCCGGCCTGAACTTGAGACCAAACAATCGTCTTTTTTTTTTTTAACTCCAGGCAGTGATGAAGGAAGTGTTGTGGGGGGTTGCCGGTGGTCCAGGACCTGTGTGTGTGTGTGTGTGTGTATAAGGGGTGTGGGTGGTATCCATTTCAAGAACACAAAGACTTTTTTTTCCTTCGAAAGGCAACCATCTCACATTTCTGCCACACATGAATCACTGCAGAAAACATGAACTCACACAGGGTCAAAAGTCACATGACAGCAGCACAAAAGCAGGCACGGACACCCGCGGTGGGCGTGCCCAATCAGTGGGTGTGGCGGCTTCCAATACGGGCCCAACCACCGCCCCCGCGGCCGACGTCGGTGTCCTGATGGAGGCGCTCACGTCAAGCGTTCAGTCAAGGTTTTGGTCATGGCGATCTTCTTACTGCAACTTGCTCTGCGTGGGGGTCAGAGTTCATGATCCCCAGAAAGCCGCGACAGCTGGTCAACACGACCTGGAGAGTCTTTTGTGATATGTGTATTTAAAAAAGGAGAGCACAGTGAGCCATTGTTTATCGCGGTAATCTTCCTTTGTTTATTATTTTTCTCTGCATGACGTGCGTGCACTCATGGCAAACAACAAGGTGCTCCAAAGTGGGCAGGATAACCTGACACCCCTGTTCACATGCCAGCTGTCAAGTTGCACTTGAAAAAAAAAACAAGTCCCCCCTGTCCTCACTCTTCTTCGTTCTTCTCTGCACACTCACGGCCGACAACGAGGCACTCTAAAGCAGCCATGCAACTGGACCATCTTTTGCATGTTTTCAGCCACTTCTGTATTTCCAGAAATGTGTATTCAGAAACCTCGAAGTTTTCCTGAAGACCCTCATCCACGCTCACAATCCTGCTGTCTCCCAACAAGCACTCCTCCTCCTCTTCTTCCTCCTCTTGGAGGGAGGAGCCGCTCTCACCTGGGTCAAACCTCCAGCACTGTTCCCACCCTAGTCACGCAGCCCCCCCCCCACCCCCGATAGATGCCCAGGCTGGAAACCTGACACCCGTGACATCATCCATACTCCCGAGACGTGGGCGGCTTCCCAGCAGACGATCTCCACTTTTGGATCGATCGCGACTCCGCAGCCGGCCTCCACCTGTGGGTGACCCCGCCGTAACGCCATCACATTAGTGCCTCCCTCCCCCTTCAAAAAAACAAACACAAAAAAACCCCAAAAACACCCCCTGGCTCCATGCTGAGCAGTCAGAAGGAGGAGCGTTTTGGGGGCTTTGCAAGAGAATTCCTGTCAGGTTGCCAGCGTTCCTGATACTCAGGAAATTCTTCATCATCCTCGTTCTCTGGAGGGCTTCTTCATCTTGGGAAGAGTCTTCTTCATCCTCTGGAAAGTCTTCTTCAACCGTTGGATATTTATTTTTTTTTAGCCTTTGGACCTTCTTGTTCATCCTCGTGTAGTCAGAGGAGCCTTGTCTTTTTCTTTGTTGCCTGGAAGGTGTTTTTCAGCCAGTGTACCTGTGGTGCAGGTGAGACACCTGTTTGCACATCATGCTGTCTGTGTTCAATGAATTTAAGTTGAATTTTCTGGGGTGGGTAGGTTGGAGTTTATTGTTATTCATGATAATCATATACTGTATATTTATTTTGTATTCTATATTTATTTTGAAATCTAAGTGTGCCTTTGTGGTTTTTGCTGTCTATGTTGCAGGTTGCATATACAGTATATATATACTGTGTGTGTGTGTGTCCTATATATATATATATATATACCGTACACACACATATATATACCGTACACACACACACACACACATATACATACGCTATCATGTATTATGCAGCAGTAATAATTATATTAAGTTGCTGTGAGCTACTTTGCAAGAAGAGTGTAGGTGAATTGTAATATGTCTTGACACACGAGTTTCATTTGTTTCGTGACCGCGCTCGAAACGCAAAAACACTCATCTCTTAAAATGGAAATGCCTTTTAATTCATTTCGTTCTCCCAAAATAAAAAATAAAAAAAACAAGAAAAGGTTTGTTGTCAGAAGATAGAGTATACAGTATGTGTGTATTGTGATATTATGTCTACATGTGTTGCTCCACCATTTGTGTCCAAATATCCGCTGCTTAAACAGTTATTACGCTACTACAATTGAGGCTAATTGTTAACCTTACTTTAGCATTTTTCATTTTGTGTTAGAAGTGAAGTTATTTTCCATACAAACAGTTTGAAGCCAAAAGTAGGGGCAGAAAAGAAGTTTTCACCTTTTTTTTGTCCTTGACATGAGAAAACAACTTTTTCTCGTTTTCAAAAACCTTAAAACGGGTCAATTTGATCCATGTCATGACATGAAATATTCAGCAAAAATCTAAGAGGAGTAATACATGCTGACTGAGTGACTTGAATCACATTTGTTGTAAAAAAAAAAAAAAAAAAAGGTCCCACGGTTGTCAAATTTCATTAAAATAATCATAAAAAATATATAATTTTTTTCAATTTCCAGTTGTTCCGAGACATGAGGAAAAAAGTTTTCGCACTGTCCGTCTAGTTGTCGTGTATTTTCCGGTGAGAAATCTTACACGTTTCGACGCAAAAGAGTCCCAGGGGAAGGTTAAATTACACGCAGCTGGAATTACGTCTGTGAGACACAACACACACGCACACACACGTACACACACACAACACACACACACACACACACGACTGTGGATGTTCCCCAAGAGTCGGTTCCCACCGGCGAAACGCGGCTGTTTGCTTACATCATTGCTCAAAGATCCGCTAAGGCTATCGCTAATGTAATGCATCATTTTCATGACATCAACACTCTTTAAAGTACATCAAACTTCTGTTTTTTTTCCTTAACCAAAAACAATAGTACCTTAAGTTTAATTTGTTCAGTGACCAAGCTCATAACTCGGTTTACTGCAATGAAAATAATAAAGAAATATCTTTAATCTGTTCCAGTTGTTGAAAAATTAAACTTTTTTTTCATGTGTGTTTAGTAAAGGAAAATAGCACAGTATTGTATAAAAGCATGATAGAAAAGAATATCAGAGAATGTCGAGATAAAAGTCACAAGGAGCCGTTGTGAAAAGGCACAAGAAGTCGGCCATATTGATTTGGGCCCCATTTTACCGATTTTCCTTAAAAAGTTTGGAAAATTCAGCCCCCAAAGTCAGTTTCACTTAGCAACATGAAATTTGCTCAAAATGTCTATCATGAGTAGACCCACAAAATAATCTCAAGACTCCATGCCTGCAAAGACACAGGCCGAGGATATAGTGGAAATATTGTGTTCATGGCCCGCCGTGCTGCCGCATGCTGGAATGTGAGCGTGCATGTTAATTGCCTTTCTTGAGATTCCAACTCTAATGGAGCTAATCCCACTATTGTGCACTTCCTCTTTCAGACAACATGTCACCTGACACGTGTGCTCAAAGATTAGTGTTGTCGATGCTCCTCAACACATCTATACCACCCCACTATACCCATATACCACACTACTAAATGGATCCAAATGGCAGTTTTTTTTTATGATTAAAAAAAAGAGATGAAATCGCCATCAATGAGTTCCACACTTTTTCTACTATTATTGTCCCATACAACATGTTCCATACAACCCAGTTGAATGTTTAAAATCTGTTCGAGAGGTGTCTCTCTATCTATCTGCCGATCCATCTATCTAGCTAGCTAGCTAGCTTGATAGATGGATCGGCAGATAGATAGACAGGCAGGCAGGCAGACAGCTAGCTAGATAGATAGCTAGCTAGCTGTCTGTCTACCTGCCTGCCTGCCTGCCTGCCTGCCTACCTACCTACCTAGTTACTCTAGTACTGTATGATTTGCTTTTGTCAGTTTAACCTGGCATTGCTTGTCAAATTTAGCAATAGTAACTCAGGGGCGCGGCTGAGTGAAAGTGAAATTGTCCAAAAGGGCTCGCTCAGCTCATTTGGGCGGGTGGCGCCCATGGCACCCTCAGACGCGCTGGCTCCGTGGCGTTCACATTTAAGTGTGTTTACGACAGGTCGCAGCAGGGCAGCTGTCCGGTCAGCAAGCGTCACCTTTACGACATGCTGACACTCGGAGGGCGTTTGCGCGGCCATGCACCATTATGACGTGCGTGTGTGTCCAAATGAGTAGACCCACAAAAAAGTCTCAGGAAACCATGCCCAAAAAGCCACAACAAATAATTTTAAGGTCATTTCTTGCGGCAGGTGTCTCTCAACAACGGTGTGACTTATTAACCAATCAGCAGCCGGAGAGGAGACGTTGGGCATGGGCCGCATTTGTCGGCCCGACGGTGGCGCCGTTCCCCTCCTGGCGCTCTCGGTGGCATTGTCCTGGTTGGTGGTGCCGTGTCGCACTGACAGTGAGTACCGTTCGCTACAGTTCGCATCATTTACCCCACACGTCATATCACGGTGCCGTTTGTCCTCACAGGCGTGCCGAGCTTCATGAAATCGCCCGACGACCAGACGGGCATCTCGGGGGGCGTGGCCTCCTTCGTATGCCAGGCGCTGGGCGAGCCCAAGCCGCGCATCACCTGGATGAAGAAAGGCAAGAAAGTCAGCTCTCAGCGATTTGAGGTGTGTGTTTTTATTGAAAAAAAATACGTAAAGACCATTTATATATTTCATTTACATCAAAATTTACTGATTAACTGATTAACTTAATTTCCAAACAGAGCAACTGTCTAGTTTAATACATTTGTAAATGCCAAAAATTCTGATTAAAGCATCTGAATAAATCACGTATTTTCATTAAGAAAAAAAAAAACATTTGAATTTTAATTTAACTTAAATGCTGCAAAAACTCCAATTAACTATTTTTGTAGCTCATTCATGAGCGTTTTTGATTCTGTTTGAAATGAGATCAGGAAATTGGAAGACGCGTGTATGCATTCTGGGACTTTTGAAAACAAAAGTTCACCTTGTGTGTCGCCGAGCCTTCGAACGCTTGGAAACATTTTTTAAGTTGCCTCCGAACCAAAACAGAATTTGGCGTCGTTTCATTTTGAGGATGCTCGGTCCCCTCCTTGCTCGTCATTCCTCCGCGCCCACCTGAGCGCCCTAATTGGCCGGCGGCGTTGCGGGCAACTCGGAATGTTCTCCAGGAATGTCTGCGTTCTTCCCGCTTGGCTGCCAAGTGAAGCCCGAAGGCCAAAGTGACGCCTCCCCGCCGGGAGGAGCGGCGCTCGCCGCCTCCCTCATTAGCGCAGGAATGCTACGGCGGAAGTGCAATGCCCCGTGGCCCGACCTCGGAGTCTTTAACACCCACCGCTTCTCCCCCTATCCTCACCAACCTTTCCATTCCCGAGACCCCTCGCATACCTGATCTCCGCTCAGGCGCGTCATTGGACGCAAAACTTCCGCCTCGCTAGGTGGTCTTCACTCCACCAAACTCTTACACGTCTTCAGTCACAATCAGCAGGAGCCACGTCCAAGTTTCTTATAATTAATCAAAATGAAATAAATCTTTGCTAATTAATATCATACATGAGCTTTCGGGGTTCATTTTAAATTTCGGTATTGCTGCAGGTCCGTCGCGACCAAAGAGCCAAGGTCAGTTGTTTGAGAAATGTAGTTTACTTTGTTACACAATAATTAGTGACCTTTTTGTTATTTTGCCATCATCGAATACTATATATCTCAAATCTAAGACTGAAACTAATAAAACAGAAGTAAAATGAAGCATTTGCGTGTATTGGAGCTAAGCTGGGCTAACGGGATGCCGCCTACCTCCCATTCGCGCAGGTGATCGAGTTCGATGACGGATCGGGTTCGGTTTTGCGCATACAGCCGCTGAGGACGCACCGTGACGAGGCCGTCTACGAGTGCACCGCCGCTAACAGCCTGGGGGAGATTAACGCCAGCGCCAAACTCACTGTTCTGGAAGGTAAGACGCCTCTAGCCTCTGATACTACCTTTGAAGTCAAGGCTGACTTGACTATCCATTCCATATCGGTACCTTTCATACAGGAAAGACTACTAGGAAAAAGATGTGTCGTGTGAAAGGGGCTAAAGACACAACATCCCGCTTTCAGATCATTCAATGATGCCAACGTCTGGTGTGGTGACTTCAGCATTTGGTGTGACGTATAAAAATCGTAGTCAAATGGCAACAATTGTCTGTTGTTGAATTTCAAATCCCTATTCTGGTTTTCTGCTACCCTACACACAGCCATCATTCTGCTTCAGGTCTGGCCTCTGATATTGCCTTATAAGCCTTGAAAAGTTTAGCCTCTGATATGAGCTGTAGGTGGCACGTAGTCCAAAATATTTTCCCCGAGAAAATCTCAGTGGCCCCAGTGACGTGCCGAGGTGCGCACCTGTTTTCTGGACAGACGTGACCCACCAGGCATAACCTCTGCTGCAGGCATGCCTGTTTTCATGCATGTTTGCACGCCCACTACAACAAGGTCACCACGTGGAGGGCATGTCGATGCCAATGGTCAATGTGACACATTTAATCATCCATCCATTTTCTGAAACCGCTTATTTTGGATTAAATTTAATTTGGATATGCCTAAAACATCTAAAGTGGCTCCAGCAAGCTCGCGACACTTGTGAGGACAAGTGGTTCGAGAATATATTCGTTGATCTCAAAAGTTTAGATATGAATGCGTATTATCAGTTTATTTATTTTTGGCTATACAATGCTACTATTTTCATTTATACTTGATGTACTTGATGTTCCCTTCTAGTTACTTTGACATCACAGCATAGAATTTTACACACCCGACAAGCACACTATCTGTTTTTGGAAAGCGTTGCTTTGGGACAATGCGATGGAATTTAGCGCCGAAACCCTTCTGAATTCCTTCCCCTTCCACTCTCTGTCACTTTTGTTTGGCTGCCCGATCGGGTTGCGGATGTGCTCGCCTTAACGGTGCGTGCCTCAAGTTCTCACTTTGTTCAGAGCGTGTTTTGAAACAGGAGCAGCTCTCAAATCTGTGTTGGAATCTCAGCTAAGGAAAAGAATATCAAGGTTACGCACCAAGATGTGGCCGTTCGAAACAGCCAAAAGGAAATTGTAGTTTTGGTAGAATCTTGGCAAACAAAAACGCAAGCAGCTAGCGTCACATACTGTACGGTGTGGAGTCAGACATGCATGTACATGCACACTTTCACAAATTTTTTTTCAGAACCAAATAATCTCTAAGGCATTTCTTTTGAAGGGTAAAATTATCAGAAATGTAATCTTAAAATGATAGAGGGCGTTTTCTGTGCATATGTCAACGTTTATAATGTAGTATTATTGTACAGTATATATTGTATTGTTAGTGTCACATAATTACCATTCATGCACATAGTGATGCACCAATGTGCCTTTTCGACAAATTACTTTCTTCTAGCTTCTGATAGGATGACAAGGCGTTAAATTTATGATATGCGATATACCTATTATATTGCATCCAAGTCCACTTTTATTGAATGTTTTTGTGTGTACAGTGAATTTCCGCTTTAATCGCGGTCCATCATTCTTCCCCTCGCCTTAACGCAGATTTTTTTTTTTTTAACAGTATGTAGGGTTCACTGTATTTTAAAGCATATTATGTTTTGTCAGAGGAGCAGATCCCTCATGGCTTCCCGAGCATTGACATGGGTCCTCAGCTGAAGGTGGTAGAGAGGACGCGCACGGCCACCATGTTGTGTGCCGCCAGTGGAAACCCAGACCCCGAGATCTTCTGGCTCAAGGACTTCCTGCCCGTGGACATCGAAAGCAGCAGCGGACGGATCAAGCAGCTGCGCTCGGGTACGGTAATACACAACATGGCCGGGACACTTCCACACCCAACATGGCTGCCTTTTGAACACGCACCACGGCCGCGACGGAACGTGACAGTAAACTAGTTGGAATTCCCTCTCCTGGGACGAAGATCACTGGAAACACAAGACAAACACACCTGTGCCCCAGTGTCGCAGACTCGCTGATGCTAATACTCACGCGATATGCTGCTCCACTGCCTGCTCTTGAAGCAAACATTGTGAAAAGATAATAAAGTATTATTATTTTTCACAATGACAACCCATAAATCTGTCAGTTGATGCCGGAGTGTCTTGGCAAGTCCGGCTGTCTGACAACCCGTTCCTCCGGGCCCTTGGAGAGCTGCTGATGGCCGAGTGGGGCCACACAGCTTCCAGGGCCCCTCTGTCTTGGGACTTGGTTTATTATCCAGATGAATGACATCTGCATAGTAACCATACCTCCATATGTCTCTGACTCTCAGCTACAACAGACTTTTACCATGCTGTTGCTAGCAAAGGTGTATCAAAATTAGCTTGTTTAGCATTCCACAATGGGTATAAACACATCCAGAGCAACTACAGAGTTAGCAAAAGGTCAGCGAAGTAAGCACTAAACTCGAAACAGAAAAAGTTATCGGGTGACTAAGTGGTTACTAATTCAAACTAAATTCAATTTATCATTTTCAATTTTTGCAGTTAACTTGAGGCTAGAGATAGCACAGTTTAGCAGCTATTACAGTTAGCTGGAGTGTAGCTGAGTGGTCAGTAAGTACAAAAGAGTATATAGTCATCTGTGATTCCAAAAAAAATGACAGTTGATAAGTAGTGGGTTAGCCCATTGCAAATAACACAGCTACAGTAGCTAGAGGCTACCAAAGCAGTCTATAGTGATATAGCCTTTTTGTGGGGGGCTACAGTTTGCTAGCAGTCATTTGCTTGATAGGGTGTTGCCAAGAAATAGTTTGTTTGTAATATAGTTTAAGGATAACACTGGTAACTGTAGGGTTGCTGAGTAATTGTTGGTAAAATGCGCTTGGCTTAACTGGTGTAGCTCAGCTCTTGGGAAATACTCTAGCCACGGGTCGTTAGCTGCTCTATGAGTAATACAAATAGCTCGAGGTTAACCGAGCAGCTTCTTTCTGAAATACAGTTTGCTAAAGGGTAGCTAAATCGTGAGCTGGTTTATGAGTAAGACAAATAAGTTAAGGTGAGCTAAATGCAAGACAGGTTCGCTCAGTAACAGGTAGCTTAGCAACTGTTGTGTACCATAAGAAAGCTGAGCAAACGTCAGATGTTGACAACAGGGTGTAGCGATTAAATAAGCACCTTTAGAAAATGATAGTGTGAGAATGAAAACATGGGAGGAGAGCACTTAATAACAGCTTATTAAAAAAAAAAAAAGAAATACTTATTTTATCCTTATTCTAATTACATATTAGAAGTTAACAGTCTTGTTGTGTTGTTTCCTTCGTCCCCAACTAATGGAAACTTCTTTCTGGTCTTATTTGCATTGACTTTACCTCACCAGGTGGTACACCGATCAGAGGTAAGAATGCTGGACGACAGAAACCCCCCCTCAACCCTCACCCGAACACCCTAAAATCATCAAACCTTCTCATCCACCTCCACGTTATCGTCATCATTTCCATTTGTTCTCTCTCAACACTTGATGCTTCTTCTTAAAAGAACACTCAAAAGCAGTAGTGTTCTTTTGTGCCTTTGGATTTGAATGCAATCACAATGATAATGCGACTCCTTAGTGTCCACTTACTTAGCATCTCAGCGCCAACGGTCAAAGTCAACAACACTTTAGCCGCTTGTGGACTCCGAATGCTCATTCAAGGGAAACTTTAGCGAGGACACTTAACTATTGTGTCACGAAATATTTGGTAAGTACGTCAGTAGGTCGTCTGTTAGTTTGTGACAAACGCAGATAGCTTGAGTCCACGTAACTTGTACTTCAAGGATTAGCGGAGTAGTTTTTGTTTAAAACTGCCAGTCCACCAGTTAAATTTCTTTGGCAATGGAACTTGAAGTGTCAAAACGTTTCACCCGCAGCAGCCCCTAAGTAGGCTAGTCTTCCATAAGGGACAGGACTGATCCACATACGATGTTGACGTTTTACAAATCCACGCCATGATGCATTTTTGCAAATCTATTTCCATTTGCATGATGTAGTCTGTCACCGCGCCTACAGGGACACGTCTGTCCCCAAAACACAAAGGTCCGACAAAAGTTATCAAAAATATTTACGCCGTGGAGATGGAGAAGCAGTTGGCATGTCAGGTAACCATGGTACATGGCAACCAGGTAACACAGGAAATGAATTTTCGGTAACATATGGTCTGAGTCTGGATTGAATGACATTGTATTCGGAGTGAATCGCATTGTAATAAGAGTGAGTTGTGTCGTATGAGAATTGGAGTGATTCATATTGTAATTGGAGCTAAGTGTACTGTCATTGTATTGAAGGGTCTCATACTAAGGGTTAATTATACGAGGGGTGACCCGTACAGTGCCGTGAAAAAGTATTTGCCTTCTTCCTGATTTCTGTGTCCTTTGATTATTTATCAGACACAAAGATTTCAGTTCATCAAACCCATTTTAATAACACTCAGAGACGACACAAGGAAATACAAAGTTTCTAATGCCAATTAAATGTATTTAGACCCACAAAAAAAAAAAAAAATCCAATTAGAGTGAATTGCAACGTAGAGTGAATTGTATCATAGTTGGGATGAAACATATCTTATTTAAACTGCAAGGAATCCTTTCGTCATCAATCCATAATTTCAACGGCGAACCGCTAACGGTACAAAAAAAAGAATATGAACTACTCTTGGCGTGGTCATTAGGTAGAGGATGACGCTGATGTGACCTTTGACACGCATCCACAGGCGCTCTTCAGATCGAGAACAGCGAGGAGTCAGACCAGGGCAAGTACGAATGCGTGGCCGTCAACTCAGCGGGTACCAGATACTCTGCTCCGGCGAACCTCTACGTGCGAGGTAAGACCAGGAGGACCTCCTCACTCATCATGCCAGCACTTCCTGCTTTGGCATGTCCAACTTCCCATCTGGAGCTTTCTCCGTTGCCTTCCTTTGTCTTCTTTGTTGAACTGGTTTTGTGTTCCAATGACTGTTCATTATGCTAGCAGTTAGCCAACGGCACAGTCGCCATTTTGAATCGTGATGTTGTCTTTGATCTTTACAGGTGTGATGTCATCTTCTTCTCCTCGTGTTTGTTGTTTTTGCATCAGATGCTTGTTCAGCCTTTCATCCATTCATTTAACGTTGATCCCTGATTCGTTCCTCTTTTAATTCTTCCATCTATTCAGTCGTTTGTCTTCCATCTTTCTACCATCCATTCTTGAGTTCATTTCTCTCCATCCATCCATCCAGTCACCTATCCATTCATTCGTTCATCCATCCGTTCATTCTTCCGTGTGTGTGTCCGCTGCATAATGCTGAGTGTAATCGTGATGCGGAAAAGACATTTGAATCAAACACGAAACAATGATGACGATAACGATGCTCAAACATGGATCAGGCCTCCGTGTGTGTGTAAATGTGTGAGTGTGTCTATTGCAGGATATTTTGGGCCTGTTTTACTCTTCTCTGTTTTTCCTTGTCTCTTTCCTCCTCGCTTCCCTTCTCTCTTGTTGTTGTTGTTGTTGTTGTTGTTGTCGTCGACCCCGCCCCCCTTCCTCCCACCCTGCGTTACCATCCCCATCACACAAAACCAAAACACTGCAAACACTGCAGACCAGCGAGAAGGTTTGTTTCTGCACTCGTCCTGGACGCGGAGGTGCGCTGGACAGGAGCCAGGCAGCGTTGGCATGTCGCCAGGCGCCTCAGGCCCGTCCCGGCCTCCCCCTCCTCGTACCCTCCCCATCGCTATCCTGTAACTCCCACCCCAGCCTGCACCCCAAGACCGCACCCCTTGACCCTTTCCCTGCTACTGCTTTGCTTTAATTTCATATAAATCATGAAAAAATGTGATGTCATGAGTTTAAAAAAAAAGGTCTCACAAAAGTAAGACGAAATATATTATTCGATTAAATAAAATAGGAATGTCAGCTAAAATCCTGCTGTCTCGTTGCATGTTGCAACCCCCACCAGCCGGGTCCCTCCCCTCCCCTCCCCATCACCCTGCATGAATCCATCCCACTCCTTCCTCCACATCAGTTTTTTTTAACCATCTTTTTGCTCTCTGGCATGTCTACACACCCGTTGTTGCTACGTGCATCCCCAGTGTCGTCATAGCAACCTGGGGGTGTCGGGGTTGGGGCGGCCTAAACACAAAAACATCAACGTGCATTGTGCTCAGACTCACATGCTAATATGCTAATGTGCTAACGCCTTCCTCCATGCCAGCATGTCGTAACTTCACAGCCTCCAAACAGGAAACCAGCCATTTCATTAGGTACACAGCACACCTGGTCAAATGGCTGTTGAGAGTGAGACAAGCTCTCCAGCGATGTTCAGGTGTCCATTTCAAACACCCCCGGACGGCAAGTGTTTTAGTGGCCGTCCTGGCTGCATTATTAGAACACGTTCACTGCATACTCCAAACTTTTTGGGATGCAATATCGTAAAAAACAAAACCTGCGTATGGACTGACTCACTGAAGTGATCCACTTCACTTGAGTCACTTCAGTCACTTTGACTCATCTGACTCGAGTTAATGAACCAAATTGTGATTCTGTTAGTTTGAGTCAAGGAACAAAGTCAACTTGAGTGATGAAACAAAATCCTTGGGGTCCGCAGTGTTTCACGTGAGCCCGCCAACTCAAGTCACTGAACCAAATCAACTCGAGTCAATGAACCAAATGAACTCAAGTCAGTGAACCAAATCACAAGTCCGTCTGGTGGTGAGAGACCAGTGAGTCCGCTAACTGGAGTCAGTAAATGAAATCGTCTGAGTCTGCCGTGTTTCAGGTGAGTGTGAATGGACCAAATCATCAGTCTAGTCAACTAAACCAAATTGGGTCAATGAACCAACTCATACGAGTCTGCCATGTTTCCAATGGGTCCACTAACGCATCCATCCCTCCATTATCCGAAGCGCTTATTATCCTCATGAGGGTCACAGGCGTGCTGGAGCCTATCCCAGCCGTCTTCGGGCAGTAGGCGGGGTACACCCTAAATTGGTCGCCAGCCAATCGCAGGCGTCCACTAACCCGAGTCAATGAACCAAGTTGAATCGAATCATCTGAGTCTGCCGTACTTCCTGTTAGTCCGCTAACTTGAGTCAAGTGAACCAAGTCTGCTAACTCATCAGAGAACTCACACGAATCGAGATCTCGGACACGCAATTTCTGATTCGACTCATGAATCAGGGTGATTCTGAACTCCAGGCCCGTCTACCGTGATGTTGTCCTCCTGTCTAAACACCCTCCTCTGATGCCGGTGCTCATACTCCATCCTCTCCATGCAGTTCGTCGCGTGCCACCCCGTTTCTCCATCCCGCCATCCCACCACGAGGTGATGCCGGGGGGCAGCGTGAACCTGACGTGCGTGGCGGTGGGGGCGCCCATGCCTTACGTCAAGTGGATGAGCGGCGAGGCCGAGCTGACCCGCGAGGAGGAGATGCCCATCGGACGCAACGTATTGGAACTGGCCAACATCCGCCAGTCGGCAAACTACACCTGCGTGGCCATCTCCTCGCTGGGTGTGATCCAGACCACGGCGCAGATCACCGTCAAAGGTAAAATAAACGCTGTTCCTTCAATGGGTGTTTTGGGGGGGTTTTTTTGGACCAAATGTGTACGACTATTTCCCATTCAGAGCATGGAGCAAAATTCAACACCTTGACTGTTTTTTACACTGCATTTCACATCTGTGTCCAACAGATGGTGCTACTTTTTCATATTCAAAGCATGCAGCAAGATTTCACAATTTTTATGTCGTATTGAAGTCGTTTTGAGATCACTTTTGACAAATGGGTGCTGCTGTTTCTCATTTACAGCATGAAGCATAAGTCAACATCTTTGACTGTTTTTGTGCAAGGGTGGCTCACGACTGAAAAAATGCGCATCATCTTTTGTTGCGTCATGGTCAATATATATCTCGTATTTGTATTCTTAGAATATTACAATTTCTAAGACTGATAACTACTGTATCTGATAATATTTTCTTCTAATTCTGTGACTTTTATGATAGCTGTGTCGCATTCACGACATGTTGCTACATGCTTTGAATGGGGAAAATGTAGCCATAGCTCAAATATAAGAAAATTGAAACTAAATGCCAATTTTCATCCAAAGGATTGTATTAGTTTGTTAGGATAAATTTGGGATGAATATTGTGATTTGGGTGTCCCCCCCCCCCCAGTGGTGACAGAGACCACCGCCACCAGCGTCACCCTAACGTGGGACTCGGGCACCTCGGAGCCTGTGTCCTACTACGTGATCCAATACCGGGCCAAGGCATCGGACAACGGCTTCCAGGAGGTGGACGGCGTGGCCACTACCCGCTACAGCATCGGGGGTCTCAGCCCCTTCTCCCAATATGACTTTCGGGTGATGGCGGTCAACAACGTGGGCCGGGGGCCCCCGGGGGTTGTGGTGGACACACGCACCAGCGAGCAGGCGCCCTCCTCGCCTCCTCTCCGCGTCCAGGCCCGGATGCTGAGTCCCACTACTGTGTTGGTCCAATGGGAGCCCCCCGAGGAGGCCAACGGGCAGGTCTGTGGCTACCGGGTCTACTACAGCGCCGATCCACAGGAGCCGCTCGGCGCCTGGGACAAACACAACACGGATGACAGCCAGCTGACCACCGTGGCAGGACTGGTCCCAGATCTCACCTATGGATTCAGGGTGCTCGCCTTCACCTCGGTGGGGGACGGACCCCCGTCTGACGTCTTGCTCATCAAGATGCAGCAAGGAGGTGAGTGCATCCAAAAGGTCTTCAATCCCCAACCTGACCGGATCATACGATGCCCTCTCATACCATAACATATGATACCGTATAAAATTATACCATATCAAATTTGATTGTATCATATTGTATCATATTAGACACGACCGTTGTATTCGGTGCCATATCATACTTAAAAAGTAATTTTATACCCTGCCATACTGTATCATATAATACCTCATCACACGAACTCATACGTTATATACATATTTCATCATATTTATTTGTGAAACTTGGACTGGCTTGGTCAGGACTTCAGGTGGCTCGAGACTGAATTTGTAATACTGTATAACCCAAAAAAAACATTTCCAACTTGCTGTGCCGGGAGAAAAATGCAACGCAACACACTGCATTTGAAAGATAAAAGCCACCAACCAAGTCAAGTGACCTTCTTGATTTATTACTACGGTGCACCTTTCCACACCCTCATAAATCAAACGCGGATTCTTCCTGTTGCTTCTTCAGTTCCTGCTCAGCCAACGGATTTGGAGGCCGAAGCCGAGCTGGACTCTCGCATCATGCTGTCCTGGCTCTGGCCCGTCCAGGACCCGATCGTCGGGTATGAGCTGCGCTACTGGGAGGCCAGCGACCCCCAGGAGAAGGTAGATGGACTTTCCGTTCATCTTTACCATTTCAAGATACAGCCCGAGGGCCACAAAAGACATTTGTATGTGATGAGCTGAGAAAGCAGAGTAATGATTAAATAGCAAATTCAACATGTGAATATCAACAAATGAGCCAGCCGTGTTTAAAAAAACAAAAACATCAAAAGTGGCATTTGAGCCCCAAAGTTTACCCAAACCTGACTTCGAAGATGGTTGACATTTGACAATGCACGCTGATTGTGCTCCGGCAGCACAGCGTGACCTTTGAACCCACCGGATCGTACGCCGTGGACGGCTTGAAAGCGGACACCGTCTACGTCTTCACCCTGGCCGCCAGGTCTGAGACGGGCTTAGGAGTCTTCACAAGACCCATCGAGTGCAGGACCGCCCGAACCAGTAAGTGCAAAATGTGTTTCCTGGTTTGTGTGTCGGGGGTGTTCCTCTCGATTCATTCTAGGTTAGCACGCTGCTAACCTTTCCTGAAGCAGTCGCTTGACTTTCTACACTCACTGGACTCTACAAGACATAGATGAGAAGACCACATGTTATTCCGCATCTGTGATAGATGAGCACAGTGATATTTGGCCCTGAAACTCTCGGTGGATTCTAGAAGACCGAAGTCAAGTTTACAACCTGTTCCTCTGGATCTTTGCTTGGTCAGCACACTACTAACTGGATTATAAACACTCACTGTTGTACCTGAGATCAAAGACAAGGTACCAAAATGTTCCTGAGGTCCTGAATATTTAAGAGAAGGTGGCAAAAGTCCCTTTGGATCTGTGCCAGTTTACCACACCGCTAAGCGATCCCGATCAAACCGTTGCTGGACTCTTCAAGACCAAATACAAGAGGACACCATGTTCCTCTAGCTTCAAGCTAGCTCATTGCTAACTGTGGCACGCCATGACCTTTGACCTGTGCCGGCATCTCCAGCCAGTCCTCACTCCCCTCCCACGCTGTGTGTTTGTGCCATTTCACCCACTTTTGTGTGTTTCCATTTTAGCATGTCGTCTTCCATGATGTGTCTGTGTTCCCATCAGCCCCCTCGGTGCCCCCCCAGGACGTCCGCTTGCTCAGCTTGAGCTCCACCAGCATCCAAGTGAGTTGGGCGGCGCCGCCAGCCGCCACCGGGACCTACGATGATGCCACCGCCGTCACCGGCTACTCCCTCACCTACCACGCGCTGGCCAGGGAGGATGCGCAGCGCCACCAGGTGTTGGCCATCGGCGCAGACGTGCGCAGCTTTGTCCTGGAGGGTCTGGAAAAGTGGACAGAATATACCGTGTGGGTGCGAGCACTCACCGATGTCGGGCCTGGACCGGCGAGTCCGCCGGTCCGTGTCAGGACGCAGGAGGATGGTACGTGGACGGAAGGGAGTCACCTCAAAGGCCGAAGACCTTGTTACGTCCTGCTCGGAGGAAGAAAACTCTTGTTGTTTTCAAATCGATTTCCTTGAAAATTTGAAGGGGTGTTCAGATAATGAATGGATGGATATTGATAATGGTGATCTTTAGTTTGTTGGCTTAGTTTAATTTTAGTTAGTAATTAGTCATTTTTAATTTGTGCTAAAAAAACCAAACAAAACAAAAATATTTTATTCATTTAACACATTTAATCTTGTGCTTTAAAATATACATTGATTTTATTTATTATAACATATGTTTGTGTTATTTGACGAACCACATTTGATATCATTCTTGACCTGATTTTTAAAAATATGCCTGATCACATTAAGCACATTCAACATTTTTATTTATTCCATATAATTAATCAAATATTTTATTAAATTTTCTGCTTTTCTGCTTGAACAAATGTAACATTCTGCTTTTTGAAATGATTGAACACAAGCTCGGAGGAAGAAAACTGTTGTTTTTTTCAATGTAACATTCTGCTTTTTGAAATGATTGAACACATTTTATGAAATCATATTATTGTTGTTGTTCAGTGCCCGGAGCACCGCCCAGAAAAGTGGAGGCGGACGCCGTCAACGCCACGGCGGTCCGCGTGAGCTGGAAGCCGCCGCTGTCCATCAGGCAGAATGGCCACGTGCGAGGCTACCAGATCATCTACTCCAGGATGGAGCGTGGCGAGCCTCACGGCCAGCCCCTCATCATGGACGTCGCCCACCCCGACGCTCAGGTACACCGACCGTCCTCGCTTGCTTTCACTTCCAAGCAGAAACTATTGGGAAAATGTTGGAGGTCGGACAAAAGTATTCAGACATCAACAGCAAGTGAAGAAAACGTGAAGCTCATACAAAGTACAGGGACATTCACAGAGAATGGAGAGTTAAGAGAAGTGCAGAGGAGCTCAGACATTTTCTAAATATGCACACAAGAAGATACAATTAGTCTTTTGTTGGCTATCCCCTTTGGGGCAAGTGGAAGTATTGGACATAAATCTTGCCCTGCTGCCACAAAACACACGCAAGCCAAATGAAACAGAAGAAAAGAAAAGAAAGCAAAGACGCTCCGTCAAGTCACACCAAGAAAAGTCACCCTGGAAACAAGTCGTGTGCAAAAACTAAGGGATGAACTCGGACTTTCCCACTCTCCTTTTTCTTTTTTGGCAAAGCCGATAAGAATCAGCCTGCATGAGGGTAATGGAACGTGGCCTGGGGGTGCCAGGAGGATGAGGAGGAGGAAGAGCGAGACACGCACAGACGTGTCCAACGCGCACCCGAACAATCTGACTCATCTCATTTTTGTCTGAGGGCACGCACCGCGTCTCCTCTGAGACGTCCTCGTTGAAAACAAATAGCGTGATTACAGAAAAGAGTCAGGAAATCATCTCATGCTCGTGCAGTGTGAAATATCACACCTGGAATTTCCCAAGGGATTCATAAAGCAGCTATCTAATCTATCTATCTATCTATCTATCTATCTATCTATCTATCTATCTATCTATCTATCTATCTATCTAGCTAGCTAGCTAGCTAGCTAGCTAGCTAGCTAGACTCATCTCATTTTTGTCTGAGGGCACGCACCGCGTCTCCTCTGAGACGTCCTCGTTGAAAACAAATAGCGTGATTACAGAAAAGAGTCAGGAAATCATCTCATGCTCATGCAGTGTGAAATATCACACCTGGAATTTCCCTAGGGATTCATAAAGCAGCTATCTATCTATCTATCTATCTATCTATCTAGCTAGCTAGCTAGCTAGCTAGCTAGCTAGCTAGCTATCTAGCTGGCTAGCCATCCATCAACGGTATCTGTTTGTCTGTCTGTCATTTATTGGGTTGGTCAGGCCCCATGTGAAAGGGGGACCACCACCCAGGTCCAGAGGCCCCATCCGTGATGTGCACGCAAGGTTGCAGAGGCATGTCAAACCAGGACAGCCCCACAACATCCAGATTCTTTTGGAACTCCGACGGATCTCATCCATCCACAGGGCTCTGCCACCAAAAAGCTTTTTAACCACTTTGGTGACCTCAATCCTGGTGATAGGAGACTGAGCCAGCCTCAGACACCACGGGCTCTGCTTGACCATGTTCGAGCAAAAGACAGAAATACGTGAATAAAGTGGTCATTTTACAATTAATTTGAATCCTTTCACGTTATCTCAGGATCTCTTTGCGCTCGCTTGTGTTTGGACACGCTCAGTGGTGACGCTTCGGTCACATGGACAGTTTGTTTTGTTTTTGGGAGCTAGAGCGAGCAGCTTGATGGCGACCGATCTTATCTGATCACTCCACGCTCATGCTCCGCCGCCATCTTCATCCGCGCCGGCGCACCACAGCGTTAAAGGTTCACGCAGTCAGTCGTGACTCGGATTCCATTTGTCTGACGACATTCTATATCATGTCATGTACATGAGTACATACATGTCAGTCATTAGTGGTTGGACGTGATGTCACGTGGTCATTTTGAAGATCAATTAATGAATACATTTGAGTTAATTGAGCAATTTTATTGAAAAAAAACCTTCCAACTGAATGCAACATAGGACTCTTGAGCATGTAAATGCTTCGTGGGCTGCAGGCGATCCATGCGCCACACTTCATTGCTCATTATTAGTGGTGAAATCCATTTGTTGTGTGCTAATGTTTATTAGCACTTTGGGCTCAGGTGTGGCTAGCCCTGCACTGTAACGCCGAGTGGATGCGGTGCGTGTGTGTAAAGTGAAGTGGAAATCTGCGCGTTGCCTTTGATCAGCGTCATTGTCAGCACCAGCAGAGCCAGGGGGCGCCACTAAACTTATCAGGCTGAGGCCGTGAGACAGGTCCCCGGAGAGACACCCACGGCAGGCGCGCGGCTTTCATCGCAACGCCTTGGATTTTGCGGCTCGCCGGGATGAGACGGGAACGCTGCAAATCGGCTGCGACGCTCCTCCAGGTGAACAAAACAAAACGCGGCCAAGACCACCGGCGGAACGTTCTGCTCCAGCGCCGGCTGCCATCTTACTGTGACCTCACCTGCCTCCTCTTTCAACACACCTGCATTCACTGGACCTCAAATGCCAAACAAACAACAAATTACTATTTTTTTCTTGAGTTTTTCAGAGTTGATGTCTGGATGTTGTACACGCTGTACAGACAACATTTCTCTGACGTTGTTCACCCGCTCCAGCTCGGAGGAAGAAAACTGTTGTTTTTTTCAATGTAACATTCTGCTTTTTGAAATGATTGAACACATTTTATGAAATCATATTATTGTTGTTGTTCAGTGCCCGGAGCACCGCCCAGAAAAGTGGAGGCGGACGCCGTCAACGCCACGGCGGTCCGCGTGAGCTGGAAGCCGCCGCTGTCCATCAGGCAGAATGGCCACGTGCGAGGCTACCAGATCATCTACTCCAGGATGGAGCGTGGCGAGCCTCACGGCCAGCCCCTCATCATGGACGTCGCCCACCCCGACGCTCAGGTACACCGACCGTCCTCGCTTGCTTTCACTTCCAAGCAGAAACTATTGGGAAAATGTTGGAGGTCGGACAAAAGTATTCAGACATCAACAGCAAGTGAAGAAAACGTGAAGCTCATACAAAGTATAGGGACATTCACAGAGAATGGAGAGTTAAGAGAAGTGTAAAGGAGCTCGGACATTTTCTAAATATGCACACAAGAAGATACAATTAGTCTTTTGTTGGCTATCCCCTTTGGGGAAAGTGGAAGTATTGGACATAAATCTTGCCCTGCTGCCACAAAACACACGCAAGCCAAATGAAACAGAAGAAAAGAAAAGAAAGCAAAGACGCTCCGTCAAGTCACACCAAGAAAAGTCACCCTGGAAACAAGTCGTGTGCAAAAACTAAGGGATGAACTCGGACTTTCCCACTCTCCTTTTTCTTTTTTGGCAAAGCCGATAAGAATCAGCCTGCATGAGGGTAATGGAACGTGGCCTGGGGGTGCCAGGAGGATGAGGAGGAGGAAGAGCGAGACACGCACAGACGTGTCCAACGCGCACCCGAACAATCTGACTCATCTCATTTTTGTCTGAGGGCACGCACCGCGTCTCCTCTGAGACGTCCTCGTTGAAAACAAATAGCGTGATTACAGAAAAGAGTCAGGAAATCATCTCATGCTCATGCAGTGTGAAATATCACACCTGGAATTTCCCTAGGGATTCATAAAGCAGCTATCTATCTATCTATCTATCTATCTATCTATCTATCTATCTATCTATCTATCTAGCTAGCTAGCTAGCGAGCTAGCGAGCTATCGAGCTATCTAGCTAGCTAACTAGCTATCTAGCTAGCTAGCCATCCATCAACGGTATCTGTTTGTCTGTCTGTCATTTATTGGGTTGGTCAGGCCCCATGTGAAAGGGGGACCACCACCCAGGTCCAGAGGCCCCATCCGTGATGTGCACGCAAGGTTGCAGAGGCATGTCAAACCAGGACAGCCCCACAACATCCAGATTCTTTTGGAACTCCGACGGATCTCATCCATCCACAGGGCTCTGCCACCAAAAAGCTTTTTAACCACTTTGGTGACCTCAATCCTGGTGATAGGAGACTGAGCCAGCCTCAGACACCACGGGCTCTGCTTGACCATGTTCGAGCAAGACAGAAATATACGTGAATAAAGTGGTCATTTTACAATTAATTTGAATCCTTTCACGTTATCTCAGGATCTTTCTGCGCTCGCTTGTGTTTGGACACGCTCAGTGGTGACGCTTCGGTCACATGGACAGTTTGTTTTGTTTTTGGGAGCTAGAGCGAGCAGCTTGATGGCGACCGATCTTATCTGATCACTCCACGCTCATGCTCCGCCGCCATCTTCATCCGCGCCGGCGCACCACAGCGTTAAAGGTTCACGCAGTCAGTCGTGACTCGGATTCCATTTGTCTGACGACATTCTATATCATGTCATGTACATGAGTACATACATGTCAGTCATTAGTGGTTGGACGTGATGTCACGTGGTCATTTTGAAGATCAATTAATGAATACATTTGAGTTAATTGAGCAATTTTATTGAAAAAAAACCTTCCAACTGAATGCAACATAGGACTCTTGAGCATGTAAATGCTTCGTGGGCTGCAGGCGATCCATGCGCCACACTTCATTGCTCATTATTAGTGGTGAAATCCATTTGTTGTGTGCTAATGTTTATTAGCACTTTGGGCTCAGGTGTGGCTAGCCCTGCACTGTAACGCCGAGTGGATGCGGTGCGTGTGTGTAAAGTGAAGTGGAAATCTGCGCGTTGCCTTTGATCAGCGTCATTGTCAGCACCAGCAGAGCCAGGGGGCGCCACTAAACTTATCAGGCTGAGGCCGTGAGACAGGTCCCCGGAGAGACACCCACGGCAGGCGCGCGGCTTTCATCGCAACGCCTTGGATTTTGCGGCTCGCCGGGATGAGACGGGAACGCTGCAAATCGGCTGCGACGCTCCTCCAGGTGAACAAAACAAAACGCGGCCAAGACCACCGGCGGAACGTTCTGCTCCAGCGCCGGCTGCCATCTTACTGTGACCTCACCTGCCTCCTCTTTCAACACACCTGCATTCACTGGACCTCAAATGCCAAACAAACAACAAATGACTATTTTTTTCTTGAGTTTTTCAGAGTTGATGTCTGGATGTTGTACACGCTGTACAGACAACATTTCTCTGACGTTGTTCACCTGCCTGGTGGCGAAACAGTTGTTCCTTCATTTTTGCCATTTTTCACTTCCTGCTGATGTCCACGGATGTTAATTAATAAAAAAAAAAAAAAGGGGGCTCTCAACTACATTATTGATACTACTTATCAAGCCAATTTCTTATTGATTGAATTATCATAGAGTGAGGGAGTGAAATGATTTCTACTAATCCAAATACTGGGAACTACTTTTCTCAAAAAGAACCGGTTTTCGATTCCCTTTCGCCGTCGTGTCCCAGTAGATTTTGTTCAAAGTGTTCACTTCCTTTCCCGACAGGAAGCCATCTTGACGGGCCTGCTGCCGGAGACCAGCTACTCACTGACGGTGGCGGCATACACCACCAAGGGAGACGGCGCCCACAGCAAAGCCCGGCTGGTCACCACCACGGGGGCAGGT